ACATGTTCCCCACCGCCGATGCAAAACCGAGCCCAGCCTGTCCTGCTCAGCTGTACCTAGTGCCAGCGAGCAGGCAACAACAGGAGCCACAACGTGGCCCGCGATATTCTGCAAATTCTCGGGCCTTGTTCCCCATTGCCTGCCATTTGTGAAAGCCTGTGGAAAGCAAGTGTAAAATCCCACCGCTGCGATCCGGCAGCATTAAACTCCTCAGCACCGCTGCATGTTTCATCAGATCAAGCAGGGATGCTCGGGGTTGCTGGAGTTTCCGTCGGCTGAGAAGGTACCCCTTAGATTTTCAGGGGGACTGTTTTTCATTTGTATTGACGTAAATGAGAGAAAAATCCAGATCTTATCATCCTGGGGGCCAGCAGATTCTGTCCTTTTTGGTTTTGTCTTTAGACACGCTCCGAAAGATTTTGCAGTCAAATGCGGAGTGAATGAAAACAGATGCCACCAGGCAGACTTCCCCAGGGCGAACAGCCGATGCAGGACACGTGCCTAAATTATTCCCTTTCTGGACAGGTTTCGCTCACGCCATCCCTGCTTCAGCCTCAGTCTCGGGGAAAGGAGCGGCGCACAGGAAGAACATCACCATCTTAGGAAAAAATTATATCTGCTGCGGGCTTTCACGGCAGGGATGCGCGGCCATCTGAACGCCTGTGTATCGCAGAGGCTAGCAAGATCCGTACCGATTTCCAGAAGGGCAGTATCCAGGCCTTTCCCCTTCCCTCCTCGCCAACACCCCGGCTATGCATCTACATCCTCTTTATTACAGCAATCCCGATGTACCAGGAACCGGAGTCACACATGCCTCACTTCAAAGCTCCCTCCCTGCCTACGAGGGAGCTGCTGATAGCAGAAGATACTGGTGTCTGCAGATCGCGAGTCAAGTGAAAGTCTGGTGAGCTGCCCAGACAGACACCGCTCCAGCTTGAGTCATTACCCTTTTCCACCTGTTCTCAACTGGATGGATGAGAAAGGATAACTCATGTTCAAACACCCAGGTCAGCTGTGCCCGCCCTTGCAAAATAAACATTTGATGTCAGTGAAGAAAATTAATGGGCAGCTATTTCAGATACTTCCTTTCCCTTCACGCATTTCTCAGGGGTTTTATCAAAAGTAAAGAGAGTGAATAACGAGATCGCAGTTGGCACTCGGACTCTTCTGGAAGACACGATGCCCAAGCGCGCCCCGCCAAGGCCAGGCAGCTGTCAGCATCGATGTCGCTTCGCCTGCGCCAGTCCCTGCCTACGCCCCTGATTGATTGCCACGGCACGGCTGGGAAGGGACCCGTCCGGGGTGGGAGCAGGGCGGCTTTTCGCCCTCGTCCCTGGGGTCAGGGCAGAAGGAAATAGAATCCAAATACTCTGCCAATCCGGGGGCTCCCAGCACAAACCGGAGCCAACAACGTGCAATTTCGCATCCTGGGCACATCCTTCCTTTTTAGTCATCCCAAGGTGACAGGCCGTGGTCGGCGAGGGGGACAGCAGATCCCAGGAGCTGCCAAGCAAAAGGAGAGAGCACATTAATGTCAAGTCAGCAAAATTTGCTGGGATTCACCACAGAACGGGAGATGCTGAACCGTTGCCTCAGGACATCAGGCCCTTGCCAGGGTGGCCTTGCGGCCCCGGGGCTGCAGGTAGCCAGATGATGCGCCGCTCCACAGAAGGAAACACAGCCACAGTCTTCATCGCCGGGACGTTTTCTGGAGATGAGCCTGGGAGAAGAGAGGCAGAGTGACGGAGAGAAACCTCCCCTCCGACGTGGCCGCGGTGCCGTATTCCACAGACGCGACCGGAGACCAGCGGGGAAAGAAGTTGGCCCCAACGCCACCCGCACCGGGTGCTGAGTCCGGGCTGCGCTGAAGGTTTGCGGGGCTAGCAAAAAGGCGGTCGAGGCACAGGAAGGACCAGCCTGGCATTCATTTCCGCCAGCAAGAACGGGGCAGCGTACCACCAGCCCATCTCCTCCCACTGCGCTGCCGCCCCATGGAAAACAAGGTCTGGCTCAGGGCAGACACCAAGGAAAGAGCCTGGCTGCACCCGCGTGCGCAGCTCCCTGCACAGGCTTCCTGCTGCTCTAAGGTGCCCCCCCTTGGGCTCGCCAGCCTTTGGGGAAGCTCCCTGGCCTCTGGGAGTGGCACGATGGACCAGCCAGAGCGGGCAAGGGCCCTTGGAGCAGCAGCCCCAGCCTGGGTGTCCTGCCAGAAAACCCCGGGTGCTGCCGGGAGCGGTGGCTCAGTAGGTGGCACTCTGCATCCACGGGGAACCAGCACCTTCCCAAAGATGAGCCCTGCCCTTGCCGGCCCGGCAACCTGCCCCACCGGCCCAGCCGCAGTGGGGCAGCCCACGGGGGTGAGCCTTGCAGCCCCCTCAAGGCTTCTCCTCCTTTCACCGCTCCTGGGGACATCCTCTGGCAGCTCGGCCTGGGGGCAGAGTCCAAGTGTCCTTCCAGCCCTGGAAGAAGACCAGGGCCAAGCTTAGCGCCTCCTCCCCGACAGCACACAGCAGAGCTGAGGTTTGCGACGGGATCCCACCCTGAATGTCCTGCAGTACGCGGCCTGTGGAGGGTATCCTCTCGGAGCAGCAGCCAAGCGGGGCTTTGCCAGGACGCCGCCATTTGGGAAGAGCTCCCCTGACGTCGCACCTGAACCTCTCCGTGCACAGCCGGTGGCCATCACCACCTTGCTGCATTTTCTGCATGCCGAGGAGGGGTGCTGGTTGATGCCAGGCTGCCCCTTCTTCTTCAAGGAAGCAGGAGCGGCAGGAGGAAGTCGGCAAAATGCCTGACAAATTCGAAGCACGCCGAGCCAAATTCCTCGCTGCTGCCAGCCGGTGAGACGGAGCCATCAGCTGGAGACCGGAGGAGAGAGGGAACGTAGTGAGTCAGGCGCTGGATACGCCGTGTTTGGTCTCCAAACAGCGCAGGTAACACGGGCAATTGCACTCGGGTCATTCAACCTTTCCCCCGCTAAGCTTCTCCTTTCAGGTGCTTAGCAGTTCGCCAAGCGTAGCGCACGGGGCTGAAGTTTTCAGTGCTCAGTGTATTCCTCCGACTGAACTTAAAAAAATTAATTGAAAATGTTGCCCGTGAATCTCTGATAAGAAAATGGGAGAAATGCTTCATTTTATTGCCTGCAAAGAAGAAAATTGAGCAGGGAAGCCGCGGTGCCTCGCTGAGGGAGCAGGCCGTGAGCGCGGCGGGCTGGGGGGGGAAGGAAAATTCCCAGTTTACAAATCTCCCTTCGGCCGTTCTCACACAACCTACCCCACGTTTTGACAGAAGAGACCCCAAACTCCGAAGTCTCTGCCTTTGGAGAAACTCCACTCACAGGCACTCGGTCTCTGCTAACGCCAGGCCCTGGGACTTAGGGGGGTCTTGTGGGAAGGGAACTCCGGTCCGAGGGGGAAAGGAGGGGCCCCATCGGGCCCCCGGCTGCCCCCAAACGATGACCGAGGTGCAGCCCGGGAGCTGCTCAGCGACTGCCCGCCGGTGCCGCAGCTGGGCCGAGCACTCTGTCCCGGGCCTGCCGCGGCCCAGCAGGATTTGCCTTTTCTCTGCTGTAGACGCTGCGAGAAAAGGCATGGGAAACGAGGGGAAACGGAACGATAAAAAAAACCCAACAGTAAAGCCGTCAGCAAATGAAAATCAGTTTTAATTGCACGATGCACAAAGAGGCTGAGGGAGGTTTGCCAGGGCCGTCTGTCCCAGGTTAACGTCCGAGCAACCGATTTGGCAACTTCATTTTCAGAGCTCTTGTGCATCGCTCCTCGGCATTGGCGTGACCCGGCGCAGACGGCACCAGGAGCCGCGTGTCCTCCTTCGGCACGGGTGGAAGAGGGGAGAAGGTTTAATGACCGAGCGACTTGGATCCCAGCCACCTCGAGCAAAGGCTCCGTCTCGTTCCTGAGCTGTGAGTAGCCTTCCAGCCCCTCAGTCAGAAGGTCGCCCGCATCCTCCTTTCCCAGCGCTCGGCGGCATTGCCGCCCGCTGCCCTCCCGCCCCGCCGTGCCGCGCAGCGCCTTTGCGGGACCGGGGCGGAGGGGCTCGATCCCTTCGTCCTCCTTGCCCCCCGCTGGGCTTTGCCGGGCTCCCGCCCCGCACAGCCCGTTACAACCCGCTGCCCTAGTTTTTGTCCCCTAAAGTAGGTCTGCTTCATGCTTTCTCACGCCAGCGCTCCGGCGAGGCGCCCGCGGTAAGGCGCCCTCCGCTAAGGGCTACCGTGGCAATTAGGAGCCAAAGTGCCCCCGAGGAGCAGATTTGCGGCTGCCTGGACGCCTGCCCACCCTCCTCTCCGCTGTTACTCAGTCGTTACTCATGCGCCGGCTCCGGCAGAGGCAGGCGGAGGGAGGCTCAGGGCCATCACCGGGTTTATTGCTGAAAAATATTTCTGCCCTATCTCACCCGCTCCCTCTCCCCGGAGCGGAGGCAGACGGGGGGGGGGGGGAAGGCAACAGGGGG